TAGTTGTAAAACTTAACATATTTTAACAAATCAATTGGCCAGATTGAAAGTAAATTAAGATCGAAGTGAAAATATCATCACAATTTCTTAAACATTTTCATGGCTTCACCAATTCAAACCACCATTTCACAAATCTTGAGACAAGGAGATAGAAAGAGAAAACTACTCAAAACTCATGTGGAAAGCACAAAAAAACTCAGAATTCATATATAAAATCAAAGTCATACAAACTATAACAAGTAAATAACTTATCTCTAAATTTCTCCTCAAGAACACTCCTTGAAGTTTCTCTGAATCTCTTCCTTTCTTTACAACACACGGAATTCCTCTTCGAAGTAGCAAGGAGGAAGAAATCTCTCACTTTCCCTCCACTCTTACAATTTCTCCAAGAAATCCTCACAATTGTTACACACTAATGGAACCTCTCTAACCTCTAGGCTTTCACCACCTCCTCTAGAGTCTCCAGGCTCTCCTAATTTTCGACCAAATTAAAGTTGTGGATGAGTTTTCCCAATATGCCCCCCCCCAAAATCGGGCCTTATCCATTGTACAAGTACACATAACCGTCAATCCCGCCGTCGGCCTTCTGGAGATTTTGTCCTGTAGCCTCGGGAAAATCTCGCCGTCGGCGCCCTAGTGTAATTCTCCACATTTTGGTTCTTTTTGCTCCAAATAAGCTCATTTTTTCATCCTTTTGCTCCATTGACCTTAATTCATCATTCCTGCAACAAAACATCAAAAATACCTTTCTTTAAAGTATAATATCATTAAAAACAGTATAAAAGAGGTACGAAAATCTCAACATATTTTACTTTGGTCAGTGTTTCATTGTTCTACAATATGTGTTGGGATTCTGTAATTCAAGTTGTGGCTTCACATGGGACTCACTATAAGAAACAAGCGGTGTCAGATGGTGATTAATGATGGTCAGAAGATAGAGGTTAACAATATTGACAGCTACAAAAGTTGGAGCTATTCATCAGATATGTGTTGTTGAAGCAATGATGGACTTCAACTTTTTCTTCAAGCTTCAACCTTCTTCAAGTTCAAGGTCTCTCTCCTTTTAAAATGAGAGTTGGGCTCTATTTATGAAGTTTAGGTTGCGAATAAAGAAGAAATTTAGACCATTGATCGGATGACCTGAGGAGTTCACTTGATTGGACAGAGTTTTGTGACATTTAAGTGCCTTAATGATATTAGAATTGAGTGATATTAAGCTCGTTAGATTCATCTTATCTAGACGCTTGATTTGATTGTATGCATGCTAGATTCAAAATCAATTTGGTCTTCCAATTATGCACTTAAAGCTTCAAAAAACAGTTAACAACTTCATCTAGGCATGATTTGATTTGAATTAAACCAATTTTGATATTATTGAATCTGTTTTGTTGAGTCAATCAGTTTGACTTTACATTTGTTTAAATCGAAATTCTGGATGATTTTTAATCGAAATTTGAATATTTTTAACTCAAAATTTGACTTGAGATTTGTGTCATGCTTCAAGATTTGTGTTAGATGATGAAAATTTGTTGACAACATTTGAGTGAAAATATGAAAATTTAGAGCACTTTATTTTCATTGTGATTTTATTAACATAATATTAAAATTTTGAGTGTTATGCATGTAAATATACAAATTTTGGTGCAAGACATGTAAATATGGTATGCATGCAAATATTCTAACATTTTTTCATTTAGTCACAAACACACAACATTAGACAATAAATTACATTCCACAAGAAAATAGTAAACGCATAAGCATTTTGTAATAATTGAAACTAAATAAATGAATAATAATTATTATTATATTAGGTGTATAGATCCACACCTCTTCGGTTACATCATAAGAGTAGTTCCCCTTTCAAATCATCGTAAACGAGAGATGAGAGACACCCACAGAAGAGGGAAAAAATTTGCGTGCGATAGACGTACGCAGCGCTGCGTACAATATTGGGGTTATACCGAGGTACAAGGGGGTTACATCCGCGGTATAACCCCCTGTAACTTTCTGTAACCTACCGCAACCTACCTGTAACCTACCTGTAACCTAAAATAAGTTTCAGACTTCTGTTATCATATATTACAAATTTATTAGTAGGTTACAAGTAAGTTACAGAATGTTATGTAACCCCCTTGTACCCTCGGCATAACCTCAATATCGTACGTAGCGCTGCGTACGTCTATCACACACAATTTTTTTCCCACAGAAGGAATGAAGAGAGTAAGAGGAGGTAGGAGAAAGAACGCATGTGATGTTCTATGTCGAGCTCTAACCGGTCGAAGTTGAGAAGGAAGGAGGAAGAAGTGGCTTTGTGCGCATCTACCGTGTGAAGGAGAGGAAGGAAAAAAGAAGAAGAAAAGAAGATGAAGATGA